AGAGGGTATGGGAGCAACAAACTATAGATGGAGTTAGTTATAAAAGGAAAATCATTGGAAAGATGTCGATAAATTACCATTCTAATCATTTAAGTAAAACAGGTTATGTTACATTTGATTATTTATTTGTTTATCGCCATTTTGTTTCTTTGTATTAGTGTGTATGAGTGTAAGGTGTTTATTCCCTCGAAGAGTGGCACTGGTCATTCATCCAAAGTCGAGGTATAATGGAGCGGAGAGTAACAAGTTGAATCACGCCCAATTATTTTCAATTCATACATGTTTCCTCTGCTTTAATGTTCTTTAGATAAACGTTAAAGAATTTGATACGTACTTATATAAATCAGTAAATCTATAAAATTCTGTGTCGTTTTATTAATTGACACTCACAAGATGATTTTCCAGTAAGACAGTATATTTTTGTATAAATGGTCATGTCATTTGTGTTTAGTTTTAATTCTAAGTATTCTTGACATCAAATAAGAGTTTAAGTTTTATTTAGCTACGTAAGTAATTAAGAAACTTATAAATCAAACGATTTTTTATCAAAAATTTATCTTTAAATCAATGCATAAATTTACGTTTTCAAAGCGATCCTTTTAGTTTTTTAGAATGCCGGGAACAACTGGAGGACGCATTCGTCTGGCAGAACTTAATGATCAGCTTACTTGTAAACTTTGTCAAGGATATTTTATTGATGCAACAACAATAGTTGAATGTTTACATTCATGTACGATGATTTAATCACTCAATTATTAATTCCATTTTGATAGAAAAAATTAATAATTAATATCAATTTTCAGTTTGTAAAAGTTGTATTGTCAAGTATCTTAAAAAAAACAAATACTGCCCAATATGTGAAGTGCTGGTGCACGAATGTAAACCTTTACTTGGAATTAAACCAGATTACACACTTCAAGATATTGTTTACAAATTAGTACCCGGTTGTTACCAAAGTAAATATTTTAACATATACGTAATTAAGACAAATACCATTTAAAAATGTATATGATTACAGTTTTATTATACTTGTAGATGAAATGCGTTGTCGAAGAGAATTTTATGACAAGTATCCAGAAGCAAAGATTGCAGGTATGTCTCCAGAAGCAAGAGGAGAACCTATTGAATCACATATATATTCTGCCGACGAATTACTGAACCTTTCGTTGGAGTATTATAATCCAACTTATATAAAAACAATTAATATTATTCCTGCTTTAAAGGAACCTAACGAATCCGAATTTAATTCAGAGAAAAAATTATCAAAGATTTATTTAAGATGTCCGGCTGCAGTGACTGTGTATCATTTAAAAAAATTAATACGAGCTAAGTATGAATTACATGATGAGCGTCAAGTTGATTTTATGTATAAAGAGGAGCCATTGTGTGCTAATTATACTTTGATGGATGTAATGTACATTTATCATTGGAGAAGAAAAGTTCCATTGAATTTGAATTACAGAATATTTGCACAATTACCTCACCATTTAGCAGCATCAGATGAAGATTTAAATTTAAAAGAGAATGAAAAAGTTGAGAATGAATGTAAAAAATCTAATGTAACTAATGTTTCTAGAAATAATTTATCTCGAAAAAATTCATCTGATAAAAAGTTGAATACTGCAATTACAAGTGTTCCTATGATCACAGATAGTTCAAATGAACCTCAAAGGATACAAGATTCAGTAAATATAACATCGACGAGTATTTTAAATAGTTCTGAATGTAACAATAAACAAGAGTTAGTTATGACAACAACTACGACGACGTTAACAACAATGACGACAACAATTTCAACATCTTTAATAACCGCAAAAACAATTACAACTCAAATAAATGAACCGAGTTCTTCGATAACTACTTGTCGTATATCGAATACCACTAATACATCAACTCCCAATAATAATGATAATAATAATAATAATAATAATAACGACAATAGTAACGTAAGTGATGATCAAAGTAGTTTATCAATAGAAGCCGCAAATAGCATAATGAATTCAAAAACACTTGCTTCACAACTAAATACAACTACTAGTGCCATATTAAAACCAATTACAAAAAAAATAGACATTTTACCAAAAGGAACAACTATCAATAAAATATGTACCAAAATTAATAATTCAGGTTCTAAAATAAATGATATTTGCTCAAAAATAAGGAACTTTTCAAAAAGAAAATCCAAAGTTGAAAAGAGTAAGCCAGGTGTGCCTACGTTGCTAAAGGTTACAAAAAAATCTGTTATCTCAACACCTGATGATGTAGTTAAGCGCATTTCTACTGTTTCAATTTGCAGTCCACATAGTTCAAATAAATCTATAAACAATGAACCGGATGATGAATCGTTACCAACAACAGCCGCACCATCAATGTCGACTACTTTTGAAGGATCTGGGCTAGTTGCCAGTGATAAATTATGTAAAGCGTCAGAAATTCCATCATTCAACAAATTTGAAAGTTCTTCTGATATGATGAGTTCATCGGGGTCTATACAAATGAATTCAACAGTTGAAAGTGAAACTTCTCAGATTTTATCTCCCAATACATCCGGACTAAATGAAAGTCCAAATGGTGTTAAAAAAAAACCACCAATCGCAAAACCACCACGATTATCTAAGATAAAACCGCCGTTGAAATACCAAGGCAATCGTGAGATTTCTATTAAACCATTATTTAATAATAATGATGATATGAATGATAGAAAGAATTCTTTTCCAAGCGCTCCACCGAATAAAGTAGCCATACCATCAGGATTTAGTTCAAAGCCCAAATATGGGCCAAAACATATTGCTCCACATCCTCCTTCCAATCTTTCTTCTTATTTACCTCAAGGAAGTTATCATCATTTACCATTTATACCAATTAGCAGTAATTCATCATCATATCCTACAAATTCTTCAGCGTTTATGTTTTCAACTAACCCTTTCATCTCTACTTCAATACAAAATATTAACCTGAAGCCTATTTATTCTCAACTACCATTCACTGGATATACTAACGATGTCCAAAGTTACTCGAACTCTTTGATTGGATCTCCGGTTCAAGTTCCTACTTCGAATACCATTACAATAAATGTTTTACCTGTATCTCCAAATTTTCAACAAAGCGCTGATAATATTTCTCCTAATACAACTATTCATTACCGTCCAGACTTAACAATAAGACCAGTATTTTCTTCTACACAAGTACCATACGCAAATAATTATACTTCATCATTAATGCCTACTAAAACAACTGTTCCTAATTTAACTACTTACGTTGAAAGAGAATCAACTCCTTCAACTAGTTTAGAGAATAAAAAAAATTTGAATGAAAAGAATTCTCAGAATTCTAACGCATCTAGTTTTTTTATAGATTCAATAGTTAATAATTATGGCACAGATTTCTGTAAAAGTTCTAACTCATCTTCGAACTTGGAAAATGTTTCAGTTCATCCAGCAACTTTCATAAATTCAATGAAATCCTATGAAAGCAATACAAAAGTTCAGGAAAAAGTTGAAAATAATAACAAAAAAGATGACGAGAAACAAGAATTGAGTGTTATTTGTAATAAAAAAGAAGAAGAAAAGTCTGAAACAAAGAATAAAAGTATTGAAGCACAAAATAACGATAATGTAGATGATATCACAAACAAACAGTTAATGCAAGAGAAAGATAGAAAAGTTGATAAACAACTCAACCGATGTTCATCAGCAATTGAAAATTCGAATGCAGATACAAATGAAAAAAAGGATGCGGCATTATCAAAAAATGATGCCGAAACTGAGTTAAATAAAAAAAGTATTACGTACTAGTATTGGAGTTAGAAGACAAATGGGTTTGTTTGAAGAATTCATTTACAGTGTTCATAGTTCAAGTTTTATAATAAGTAACGAAATCATCTCGAAAACCTCAGGGAAATATTTTTGAAGCGTTTTGTGCAATTTTTCAATTTAAAAATTGTTAAAGATTTATAAGATATGACAAAACAGTGAAAGCAATCATTATAGAAAAATCCATTCCATTTTGCAGTGAAAACGCTTATAAAATAAGAAATAATTATTTTTCTACTACAAGGGTCAACGATACAGTTTCATATCATAATTTTGAACAAAGATTGAGAGAAAAAATAATTAATAATTCAGAACAAAAATCAGATAATATAAAATTAAAAAAAATGGAGTTACTTTGTTTTGTTCTTATGTTTTGATAATTTTCTATTTGTTAATTTAGTTTATAACGTTTATTTTTATTAAACAAGATAAAATGAATAAAGTTTCGTCGTACTACTTATTTATCGTTTAATATATGTATTGAAAAATTATTTTTTCTCTCTGTATATTTAAATTAAAAACGATAAAATCAGATTTATCATTAGTCATTACATATAAATAATCATCTGAACTGATAATAGAAATTTTCTAGTTCTAATTTGTATTTTTACAAATATTTTTATGCAATTTTATAATATTTACAATTGAAAATAAAAAATGACGATAATAAATAATTTACTTAAATTTTGACAAATCACGTTTTAATAATTTATTATTTATTATAATGATCATCACAATTTATTTTTTATTATAATGTTTTTATTTCATCCGCATTGAATTTAAAGATAAATGTATAATATAAGTGGTGATAATGAAGAAGAGTTTTAACAAATTTTTGAGGTTATAGATGGCAGTTAAGTCAGATTAGAGGCTCTCCAAAATGTTTTCATCGGTTACATGATAATATTGTTTATCCGCCATTTTGTTTCGCTGTCGTGTGAGTGGTTTTTGCAAAGTGGTACTGAATATTTTGCTAAAATCATGATATTATGGAGCTAAGGTCAATAATTTAAATAAGTTCTCGATATTTTTTATTTTTATATGGTTTCTTTGCCATCGTATTAATGGAAAAAATTGATCAGAGTATAGAATACACATACTAATTAACAAGTGAATTCGTGACGCTCTGATTTTCTTTCGTGACGCTCGCAACATCATGTTTCCCATATACATATATGTATCGAATGCGTAATAAATGATAATTAAATTGGTGTTTGACACTAGTTTTGATCACTTGTAAGATCGAATGGCAGTTTCCAAGTAATTTACTGATTTAACCATAATTCAACTGCGTAAGTAATTATAGAAATCACAAGTCCTTATAATTTCTCTTCTATTTTGATACGAATTCGACCGTATTCATTTGTTTTTTCTTTTACTTTTTAATGTAATTGAGTATAGTTTTGTTTGAGTAAATGCCGCATTACATTTTATCCATTTAATAGTAATTTCTTCATGTTGTTAACCTCTTTTTTGTACTCCAAAAATAACTGATATCATTTTTCAGAATGTCAGGAGAAAGTGGAGGACGAATACGTCTAGCAAAACTTAACGATCAACTTACTTGCAAGCTTTGTGGAGGATATTTTATAGATGCAACAACAATAATAGAATGTTTACATTCATGTAAGTATAACTTATTTGATAAACAATTGATTTCATTTGAATTTCTAACAATAATTAACCTCAATTTCAGTTTGCAAGAGTTGTATCGTCAAGTATTTGGAGACAAATAAATATTGTCCAATATGTGAAGTTCAAGTACATAAAAGTAAACCTTTATTAAATATTAGACCGGATCATACGTTACAAGACATTGTTTACAAATTAGTGCCCGGTTGTTATCAAAGTAAGTATTCGAATTAGTTTTTAGAAATGATTCTTTTCAAGTGATATTTGAACAGGGGGACTTATAGTGTAATTATTAATATTTTAGATGAAATGCGCTGTCGAAGAGAGTTTTACGAAAAAAATCCAGATGCCAAGCTGACAAGTATGTCTCCTGAGGCAAGGGGTGAGCCTATTGAATCGCACATTTATTCCCCAGATGAATCTCTAAGCCTTTCATTAGAGTATTACAATCCAAATTTGGTCAATGATACCACTACTGTTATTTCTCCTGCGGAAGAATCAAAAGAATCCATAATACCTGTTAATTCCAGTAAAGTTCTACCAAAACGGTATTTGAGATGTCCAGCAGCAGTGACAGTTTTTCATTTACAAAAATTACTAAGAGCTAAGTATGGTTTAAGTGATGCCCATAGAGTTGATGTGATGTACAAAGAAGAACCATTGTGTAGCAATTATACCCTAATGGATGTCATGTATATATACCATTGGAGACGAAAAGTTCCATTGCATTTAAGTTACAGAATATTCGAATCATCACCTAAACGTTTGAAATTATCTGATGATAATACGCATTTTCAAGAATCTCTAAACAATGCTGGCATTTGTCAACCAATGGAGATGAAAGAAGTACAATTGAAAATTTCTGAGACTGGAATAATGAGCTTTACTGGAGTTTCTGGAAGTTCAGAGTCGAAAAAAGTTGCAAAAAATGAATTAAGCGTCGAAAGTGATAATCAGACAACGTTAGGAACAGTGAAAAGTGAAGAAAAGCCATCGACAGGTGATGAAAAAGAATCTAGTAGTACAAAGAAAAATATTGGAGAAGAAGAAAAGAAGAGTAATGATAATGAGAAGAAGTTAAACATCTCTAAAACTTTTTCAGAAAGGAAAGCAATATCAAATAGTAATAACAATAGTAACAGCAGTAGCACGAATACTAATAATAATAGTAGTAGTGGCAGTAGTAATAATAACAATAGTAATAACAGTAGTAACACACAAGAGTCAAATTCAAAACCGGAAACTCGAGAAAAAAGCAGAAATGCAGAAACAAGTCAATTACCTAGCGGAAGTGGATCAAAAATTGATGCTTTAAGTGTAAAATTACAGTTTCAACCGAAAATTGGACAGATAAATAACACATACAGTAAAAAATCTGTAAAGGAGAAGAAGACAATACTAGAAAAAGTATTGAAAAAGTCTGATAATAAAAATATAGCCGTAGATGGTCAAAAAGAGAGTCTAAAAAATACAATTGATAAGAGTAGATCTGTTACTAGTCTCACAATTTATCCAAGTAAATCCAATCCAACGAGTAAAGCAGCTTCAAATGTCGTTCAAAGTGGAATTAAAGGTAGTGAAGCTTTTAACACGAGTTCTGTACCATTTTCAACCATTTCTACGTCTTCTTCCTCGACTTCCTCAGGATCTATTTCAATCACAACAAGAAGGAATTCATCTCCTGATAGAAATAAAGAATCGAATTCCAGTAATAGCAATGCCTTATCGAACTTTAGTAAAAGAGGAAATAATTCAAATGAAAACAATGAAGGCTGTAACCAAAAATCCAGTTTAAGCTCAAATTCTAAAAGTCCTTTTACACGTCAAAATAGTTCATCTAATGAGAGTTCAAATGTAGGAGTAAATAGTAATGTTTCAACGATGATGGGAAATTTAACTCAGTCTGAATCGTCTTACGGAATTCAAGATTTAATTAATTCAACAATGAAGAATACATTAAAAAATTCCGGATTAAATATAGGACAGAAAACAACGATAACAAGTGTTCCAATGACGACACAAGTTAATTTACAAAGCTCTTCAACCAGTACATATTCGATATCGAATATTACAAAAACTACTTATTCTGCTAATACTAATAATAGTGGAAACAACAGTGGTAATAATAATAACAGTAATAGTAACAATAATGCAAATAATAATAGCAGTAATCAAAGTGGAAATTCATCAACAAAGCAAGAGAACATAAAAGGAAATTCAGAAATGAGTGTTTATGCAGTTCCTCCGTGTCCAGATGCTATTCCAATTTCTTTAATGAAGCCAACAGTAAGAAAAACAGAAATAATATCAAAAGGAACTAATCTCAATGAAATATGTGCTAAAATTGGAACTTCAGGTTCTAAAATAAATGATATTTGTGCTAAAATAGGAGAACATTCAAAAGAAAAAAATAAAACGGAAAAATCACGACCAGAGATTCCTGATTTGCTAAAAATAACGAAAAAATCGATAACTTCTACATCTAGTGATATGGTTAAACACATTTCAAATATTCCCAATGTTCCAATTTACACACCAAGTAATTTATTAGGGTCTAAAAATAGTGAATTGAGTAAAGAATCAACAATCTCTTCAACATCAACTACAACGTTATCAACCTCATCTACATCTTCCGGAATTACAGCTTCGTCGTCAATGTTAACTACTACCGTTCTATCTTCACTTTCTTCGTCAATGTCTGTAACAACGACAACTTTATCAACACCTACGACTTTGTCATTGATAAGCTCACATGTATCTGGACTAATGGGAAAAGGAAACTCAGTTAAAAAATCTCAATCGTCAACGGTTGGTTATAAGACACTCCGCGATCCACCAAAATCTTGGAATCCAACACTTTCGAAGAACAGTTATTTAGCAGCGAAAAATCAAGCTAAAGAAATACAAAATATTCAAATAACATCATTAAATTCATCAGAAGTTGGTAGTAGTAGTCTTTCAGGAGGAAAACCAATCATGTCTAAACCTGCGAAAATTTTTAAGATGAGAAATATGCCAAGATATCTTGGAAATCCTGCTTCAGGTGTTAAACCTATGTATAGTGTTAATAATGATACAAAAGAGGGAAAAGATCAACAATCGGGAGCAGCAACATCTTCAAAAAACACTGTTACAACAACAGGATTGAGTTCAATGACAAAAATTGATCCAAAAACTCTTGCTCCTATTGTTTCTACCAACTCTAATTCATCCATTATTTCTTTACCGCCTTATTCACCAAATAGAAGTTATCAAAATACACCTTTCTCCCGTACTAGTGGTAGTTCTGCTTTGTCTCCTAGAAATTCTCCAGTAAACATGCTTTCAACCAACCCTTTCATACCTTCTCCAACGCCAAATACCAATCCAAGGTTAATTTATTCCCATTTTCCACCTCCAGCATTTGCTACTGACGCGAGCAGATTTCCTAATCCTTTAATTAGATCTCCCATTGGAATTCCACCTCCGAGTGCTTTCCACAGTAGCTTGCCTCCTTCAATAAATAAACTTTATCAGAGATCGAGTTATATTCCTCAGACTACGACAACCGCTTATTCTCAAGGGTTAAATACACAACCGGTCTCTACTGCAATGCAAAGAATACCTCCTAGCAATTATTCCTCACCATCAAAATCACCTAAAACAATTGTATCTAATTCAACTTTGAATGTCAAAAATGAAACCTCTGCTTCTACGAGTTTAGAAAATATCGTACACCTTAAGGGAATCTCTCATGATTCTAATGTATTTAACTTATCAACTACCACAGGAACTATAAGTAATTATGCATCAGATTTGTCAAAGACTAGTAATTCACCTTTGACTGCAGGAGAAGGTTCAACCAATTCTGCAGCATCTACAAAGTCTTTTGGAAATGATGGAAAAAATCAAACTAAGAATGAAGAAAAAAGTGAGGATGATGAGAAAAAAGAGAAAATTAAAAGTAACAAAGAAAAAGAGAAAACTGATGATGAAAAGAAATCTGGTGACACTAGTAATAAAGAGTCAGGCGAAAAACTTGAAGACAAAGGGAAAGGTGATGAAGAGCTAAATGAAAAGGATAAACAAAGTGAAGATAGTAAAAACAAAGATAAAAAAGACAAACAACTGAAAAAAAAGGGAAAAGAAGTTGATAAAAAAGTAACTAAACGAGTTCTTAGAAAAGACTCAAATGATTCTGATAAAAATACAGTGAATAATGAAGATAATAAAATCAGTGAAAGCAGTGATTCTTCCTCATCTAAAAATGAAGTAACTGATCACCTAATAATCAAAGTCAATGGTAATCCCAATGATAAATCTAATGATCAACAAAATGATGATTCTTCCAGTAAACAAAACAAAGATCAAGGCAATGAATCAACGAATCAACATTCTAGTAGTAATTTTTCTACAGAAGATGATAAATCCAAAAATTCGAACAAATCGAGTACAGAGGAAACAGATAAAAATACAGAAAATAAGGAAGGAAATAAGGGAGAATCACAAAAGAAAGAAGGTGATTAAAAAAAATCATTAAAATATTTTTTAATGAAATAAATAACTAACTAAATAGTTATTAAATAATTTGAATATTAAACAAACTTTAATATTTAAAACAGTTTCTGAATTGATGATAGTTCAATAATAAGGAAACTATTAAATAGCCAAGGATTTAGTAGAAAGAAAATTTGAAAATCATCCGGAGTGCAATTATTTAATGAGTTTAATACTAATAATTAAAACAAAAATGAGAAACGAAGAGATAGATTATTAAAAAATAATCTCATTGACTATTAAAGTCAATACGTAGAGTGAATGTATCGAATAAATGCATAATATATTTAAAAAGAGCTTGCTCGCAGCGAAAACGCTTGTAAATATTGAAATTAATGTAAATAATAAAATAATCATTTATTAATTGCGGGAACAAAAGTTGACGCAAATATCTTAAGTAATATGTATAGGATACGATAAAATATTATTGATATTAATTATATATTAATATTACAATTAATAATATATTAATTATTAATAATTAATAGTTATTATTAGTTTTTATTATAACTTTATTATTTCTATAATTATGCATTTCGCCTTTTTATTTTTTTTTCCTCATTTTCTTCTGTTGTAATTTGTCTTCAGAATAATTCAACTAGATGTTGATTATATTTTTATTGAGATAAATATATCATTTACATCACCGTTTATATTTTATTTTATGAAAAGAAAGAATCAAATTTTATAAACGAAAAAAACACGCAATAAGTATTTGTTAAGATTTACTTATTATTACTGCTATAAATAATTAATTATTAAATTAATTAGTGATCTTTATTCGAAATTTCTGTTTGTGCTGTGGTTTTATTATCGTTAATATTTTTTGTTTGTAAATTATTGTAGTAATTATTATAGTTATAATTGTAATTATAATCATTATTCATGAACAAACACGTACATAACTCACACACAAATTTACTCGACAAACAATTATATTCCATCTTCAATCATTTAAAAAGGTGTCTTTGTTTAAAACATGAATTCATATCATATTCAGAAAACATTAAATAAATTGTATATTCATAGATCTTTTTAATCATAAATAATATTATTAAAATCATCAAAAAAATTCCAATTTTTATGAATTTCTCATTTTTCATGGAGTACTTTTGAATCATTTTTAAACGAAAACACCATTTTAAATCAATTCAACAAAAATACTTTAATTACAAGTAATAATTAAAATATTCATAATGCTACTAATTCTGCTATCAATTACTAAAACACATGGAATGATGAGTAAATTAAATTTACTGACATGAAAATATACTATAATTAATTCGGAAATTATGAATATATAATGAAAAAATTATTACTTGAATGGATTATTGAAACTTGACATTCATAATTCTGAAGTTCTATCTAATTAGAACATGTAAATTACAATTTAATCTTTTTTGTTATACATCCGATTGAAGAATAAAAATTGAAATTCAAAATTTGTTAAATATTAGTTTTCAGTATGAACTAATATTAAAATTCTGGAAATTGATTTAGTAATTCTCGATATTTACTAATAAAATGCTAACATAATATGAAAAATAATGGGTTAAAGTGGTATGAATATTAAATTTAATACTTAATGAATTTGTATAAGGGAAAATTGATTAGTTATTTAAACTTGAGATTCATTGTTTTTATCTTATTTTGTTGAATTATTTATTTATTATATTATCATTTTGATGATAAATATTCACGAGGGATAAAATATTTGATAACCGATTAATTTTATTTTATTTATGGAAGATAAAAAATTAAAAATTCACTTTGATATCATCGATTTCATATGAAACATGAAGCATTTAAAAATAAATAAATTAAAAATTAAAAAATTGATATTGATTGAATAATTGTTTTACAACACGATTGAAAATGAAAAAGAAATTAGAAACTGCAAGATTAAGAAAAAAAAACAAAATTAATTTTTAACATTGGACTTGGCTGAAAACTTAGGGATTCATGTATTTTATATTAATTATTATATAAATAAATAAAACATTATACTGCGATAATAGTATTAAATTCTCTATGTCAACAATATAATTTTTTTTCTCTATTCACATTATATATTTATTATCATTAATGTTTATCATATAAAAAAAATGGTAAGTATTATTTCACTGGATAGAAAAAAAAGAATATTGAAATAAATGTCCACTTGATAAACATCTTTTCCGTTACTTGCAACAATTACAGATTAATCATAAATGATTCTATGATAATTGAATTGAAACTTTTTTGTCTGTTTCATTGATACATAGTGATCTTCAATCTAAATTGTTTAATGCTTTGTTCACTTCAAATTGCCAAGCTTTTAAAATAAGTTGAAGCCGTACTAAATCAATTACTTCATTAATTTTGTTTAAAAATATAAAAATTATATGTTCTCGAATTGTTATAAAATATTTAGTGGATCATATTTCATGCGGATAAATAATAATTGAGAATTCAATTATAAAACTGATAACTAAATATAGATAAAAATAAAATGTCTTTATTTGACATATAATAATATAATAAATGTTCAAATATTTTCATGCTTAATAGTAACACAAATATTTAGACGAAAGTTATTTTTTTATGAAGTAATATTTTTACTTCTTCATAGTTTTACAAAAATTTACAGACAGCTCTTACAGACATTCAAATAAAATTACACAACAAGAAACAGATAAATAAAAAATGAATTTTGTGTACCTTAATGATAGATTATCATTGAATTATCGGTTGATTTCTTCAAATATTCAGATTGGTTAAAATACGTATAAATACTTTCGAAAATTAAAATCCATTTTGATTTAAATAATAAATTATAGAGTTATTCATCTATGGCTATTTTATAAATATCATTTTCAGTCACTGCAATTATAATTGGCATATCCAAAATTTGGCCAACTTTTATACCAATTATAGGTTTGGAGTCGACTTTAAGAATTCTCATTGGTGTGTCATACAACACACTTGTACTTTCTTCCAAACATGCTAAATTCTCGACGTAAAATATATGAATTACTCCTGAAAAAAATATTAAATAAAAGAATAATCTCATTAGTATTAAAGGTTGCGTAATCATTTTATAATTACCATACTCTAATCCTAAAAGAAAATAATGTCCATGCCATGCTATAGAAGTAATAAAACCACCAAAGTAGCGATTCATATGAAATGCTCTCCAATAATCAAAATGATTTAGGATATTCAAACAATTGTCTGTAAAAATATATACCTATTATTCAAGTTATACAATAGTCAATAAATAACAAAAAAAAATAAATGATCACATACGGCTTAAGTACATCAACGATTGATTGTTGAAACTTACAAATGGCCAATTTGCATCCATATCTACATACATATAGGGCATAGGTTCTTCTTGAACATTAGACATGTTCAGATCCTCTGGTTCATCATATACATTCGAATATAAAATGAAGTCCATTCCAGCTCGAACAAATACTGAGATCTAAAAAATTACCTAACTTTATTAATAATAATATCTTTTTTAAGAATTTCATGAAATATATTTTTTAATCTATTTCGATCTCGAAATATTTTATCGATTTTCGATTAAAATCAGTTAACTTGATAAAAAATTTTGAAATTTACTTTATGAGGTTCGAAAAAATTTAAAGTTAAAATTCTGCAAGTCTCTTTAGCCAAATCGAAATCACATTCTGATGATTTCAACTGGTTTGGATAAGTTGGTAGCAACTGCAAACGCAAAATCCGAGTTTCTTTTACAACATACAGGTTGCGCGAAGTATTAATGCTGAAAAGATAAGTAAAAATGTTTTAACGTTCGTATGACCCAATTAATTATTAATAATTTTCGAATAAATTATTACTATAAATCAATCCCATCTGTAATTTTTGATGTGTTTGTAAATTTTTCAGTTTTTTGTTTGATATCCCAAAATCGAACATAACCGTCGACATCTAAGGAAACAATAAGCAGTTCTTCGGACGCTGAAATAATTATTTGATGTAATGTTTCTAAATTATACTTGTGTTAAATGCTAGTTACAAATATATATGGAATGGTTAAAGTATTACCAGTCAACCAAATTTTAATTTTATTTATTTTTTTACTTCCAGTTTTTATGATGTAGCGTGGTTTTATCAAGAAGAAGTTGGCAAATACATGAATGGTACCTTTTGTACTTCCCACAACAATGTAACCAGCTAGAATCCAAAAATCATGTAATTGAATACAAACTTATGAATATAAAGAAAATAGTTGTTAAAATATAGGTTAAATTAAACTATCGGAATATAAACTTTTTTAAAATTCTTACACCAAACATCTAAACACGTGATAGTGTTTTTATCGTAAGCGAAAAAACGATTCCACATACAACTTTTGGACGAAAATTGTCTTAAGGATCTATCACTATTGAGACATTTACACCAATTTAAATATGAATGATAAATTTTCATCCACTTTGATTGTAATGTGATGTCATTAAAATCATCATATGAAGTTTTTGGAAGAATTGGTTTTATTATCGTACTTAAAGCATAATGACCAATTTCATTTTCACATAATCCTTTCCAATCTGCTCTTTTTAATGCGATATCTACGTGTGGTTTCAAATCTTTCGAAATTAATTGAAGTCTTACTAGTTTCTTTGGATCAGTAATTTTTTGGAAAACTCCTGCTAATATATGTAATGGAATGATTATGTCTTTTTCCATTTTTTTGGTTCACTTGAACAAACTAAAAATTTTAAATAGAAATATCAAAACAAGATCGTATTTTTTCTAATTTTCATTGAGCACTACTATCGAATACATCAATAAAATTCTAATACGTAGACAAAAAATATACTTAGAGAAAATACTATTTTGCCACGTGATAAATGTGTATTTCCCCCACTAAATTTGATGGTAAAAGCTAGAATGATATTTATATTTTCCTATAGTTAAGTCTAATTGTGTGTTGACGAAATATCTATTGGTATTTAAATATGTTTACTGCATTTGTGAATTATTTTTATCTCCAATACGAATCTTTTATTTTATAAAATAAATCTGATGAATTAGGCAATATTATGGACGAATAACATGGATCAGTTTTTTAAGAAATTATAATATGATATTTGTTCTATTGTTATTTAATAACTAAAATGTTCAAAAGTTACCATAAAGATTTATTGGAAATATGACTAATTTTTTGATTGGTAATTAAATTAGAACTCAATTTGGACATATCTGGCTGCATATGACTAAATATATTGAGATCTCATACTCGTAAATCTTTGATATAATAGATCAAAAGTTTACCTCTCAGAAGAATCATTATGTTAAAATGTTAAAAATTTTAATATAAGGAGAGTTTTAATTACAAGCTCCAATCATATTTCTAGTTGGCCCAAAGCTTGAAATAATAAATAAACAATGAACTGTCAGTGTCATATATTAAAAATATTATTATTTTCCCTCTAAAGTTATTAGTATAAACTAAGAATATAAAATCTAGACTTACTTTTATGATAGATATGGTAGATGGTAGATATTCTTCAAATTTGTGGAGATAGAAAATTTCAAATTTTTATTAATGTATTTTGAAAAAAAGTAATGCATCCCATAGTTGTAACACAATAATTAATATATACTCATATTCTACTCTTATAGAGCTATATATAAATTAAATAAGCATAATGAGCTCCTGGGTTTGAAAAAGAGTCGATATTCTGATGTATTTTCAACTGATGTTATTTCTAATTATCTCGGATTATTATAAATTAATTGTTAGTTCATTTGTGAAAAATTTTGTTTGTCAAATTGATTGGTATAATTTCTTCCAAATGTATATATTAATGCATAATCCATTCATTTGAAGTTGAGGTAATTTTATTGAAAAGAAATTAAAGCAAGAACGTTTGAAAATAAAAATAATTACTTAAGTTTATTAACGTTGAAATTTTTCAACATAATGTTAAATTAATAAATTGATATTTATTTGAATTAGCAATATTTTATTGAGATGATAATTTTTCTAAATGTCTCACAATGTCTTTTAATTTATGCACTAATTCTTGTAATTGATATATAGAGCAGGTAAATTGCACATTGCTAAGAACTCCATTTTTTTTTGTTGTTAGATTAATATAATAAATACATTCATGGAATGAATAATTTTCGCTAGTCTGTAACATAAAAAGTAGTTTGGATTTTTATAATATCGTAAAATGAGTAAACCTTGTGATAAATTTCTAGCAAAGAATCTACTCCGGTACTATTGACTATATTTTACCTTAATACAATAATCCAATCTCCAACTAACGTCTTTAAGACAAGGATAACAATCACCAATGTTAATTAATTGTGATCTTAAACTATCATAATTTTTTCTGTAAACATCACACAATCTTTCGAGTTTTGATGTTGACAATACCTCTGTTGTACATAAAAATTGGAACAAATTTTTATGATCATATCCTTGTCTTACAGCTTCGACGATAATTGATGTTAGATCTATATATGCTGCTTTTATAATTTCTGGTTTTACATCAGAATTTGAAGATTTCAACATCAAACCTGTAATTCAAGAATAAAATTTGAACATCGATGATTGATGTATTATTCGATTAGAAAATAAACACTTGTGTTTGATGATTATGATAATGTTACGACTTCTGTTAAATCGTGTATACAACTTTGTTTTTAATTTTCTTACTTTTGTCATCATGTTTTTTATTAATTATTATTGATATACAATCTAATAGTAGCTTATTGAAATTTTCATCAGTTAAATTACTTGATTTAATAAATTCTAAATTTTTCTTAGCTACTGTTGTTAGTTGCATTTTGGAATAAGAATCTACTGGATTTATTTCCACTGAATAACAATAGCATAGTTTAAATAACAAAAGATTATTTGAAGTTTTTCAATTTTTGGAAAGTATTACTAGTGTTTATCTTTATTTTTATATCAAAAGGTTATAGTTTTACTTTTGTCGGTAACTTTCCGACTTCATATTTTTTGTGAAAAAGGATTATAGTGTCATCTATAGTAACTTATTGTACAATCCTTTTTTCAAATGAACAAATATTAATGAAATCACCTATATTAGAATATTTTTTTTCATTAAGAAATGAATAATATAATTACTATAACAAATTTCCATTATATTTCAATTCATCATATTTTTTTGACATGAGAGGAATTCACGGTAATTAAGAGTAGTACACTATCATTGAAATGCTAACGAATTTTCAATTTCTCTTAATATTTTATGCTCTATCCAATCCAATTTCATATCGCTTAACAAGCTTTGCAGCAGGGTCATCTGGTCTAACAACTGTAACAAGAATAGACAAAATCACAATAAATATGTGATAACAACACATTACTATATATAATTGTAATGTATTCATAATTATTAGCGTAGAAAAGTTAAATTATTTGTATCGAGAAAAAATAATATGCACTTACCAATATTATATCGACGATATTTATGAACATAAGCAAATAAAGGATCTAATTGGTAAAACTTCCGGAGCCATTCAATGCTGAAACAAGTACCCTAAAACAAATATTCCATATACTACGAAAAATGTAAATTAATGTTTCATTTTTTATAGCATTAAATATTAATTTCATGAGTGAAAAAGTTCTAAACCTTTCTGAACTAGTATTTGAAAACATTATTTACCATAATTATATAAGCACATACAATTGGATGCCTTGAAAAGTAAAGTTTAGCTGATCCATATAAAGTGTTCCCTATGGAAAAAATCGTAAAATTAAATGAATTGGTAAAACATAACTTATTAATAAATAAAAGTAAGGTTTACACTTTGGTGTTGCATTTTTTGGAGCTACATTACTCGCCATAATTGTTGGTTAGGTTGGTTATCAATAACCAACCAAAATTGATTATTCTAAAAGATTAATCGTATATTTTTCACAAATTATAATGTGTAATAGGTAATCGTAATGTTCACAAAAAATAAAAATCAGCTGTTACATTTAGTGACAATTTAGGGACACTGCAAATTTAGAAACTGAAAAATAGTTAACATGAACTTCACTGATGACGCTACTGCTATAAAGTATTTTGGCGCCAAAATATGTGCAAAATTCAATTGTTATCATAAAATCTTGATTGTATGATCATATAAATCGCAATTATGAAATAAATATTTAGTACATCATTTATATATACTGCAGTCATAGCATCTTTTTCTTTTATTCAAATGAATACTTGAATTAAGTAAAACAGAAAAAATATAACTCATCTGCCTGATAACTACACTGATATAAAAAAAGCTTGCGCGAATCGCTGACTTCCCCTACTCTATCCAACACTTGCGCTGTGAGACTCTATATATAAAGTTTAAAACTTTTTACATAGAATTATTCGTAATAAGATAATAAGATAATGTGAGTATTGATTGTATAATTTGTGTTCAATCACATCTAGTTTTTTTCTTGAGTTGTCTATCATAATTATTGATTTGATAAATATATTTTAAACTTTTATCACAAGTTTTTATACGATAAATTTCCCTTGGATACACGTTGGTTTCCAAGAAATCAAATGTTATATTTCACATGGAAGGAAGTAAATGTAAAATTAAATGAAAAAACTGGAATTTTAGCAAATTTTTAATTTTTTTTTGCTGATCAGGATTAGTTCAAAATTTATAACAACTATTTTATTATTTACAAAAAAAACAACTTATCTCATGATTTCACTATTTAATTTTTTATCGCTATTAGAAAAGAAACATATCCAGCACATGTTTTCATCAACTGAAACCATTGGTGTAAATTAACATGTCAATCATTATCATAAAAATGATTATAAATTTTTTTGTCATTCATTACTCACTTGAAGAAAGCTCTCTAATCTGACAGGAGTCATTTTTCCTATTGTAATCACTAGAGATTTTTGTGATCGAAGTAAAATCAGCATGAGCTGGAGTGATTGGTTTGATGGTAAAGAATACCAATCACAGTCATACAGAACAAAATTCAGATTTTCACTCTGCATATTTTATCATTATTAAATATTGGAACATAATATACATATATATATAAAACCACTTACGTGATTGATAAGACTTTGCCCAACCCAAGAGTAAATAAACATCAAGAACATGAAATACATCACATACATCAAGTAAAAACTTGTTTGAAATAATGGCATTTTAGTATCATTAGTAAAAGCCTAAAATATTTTTTACTTAGCTTTAGTCACTAAAAAATTTTATTTGCTAGTAGAGTTTATATTTCTCATTGGCAAGTGTCAAATTGTTTCCAACCGAAAATGCAAATAATTAAAACATTAAAAACCATAGGAGTTAACTAAATGATAAAAAATTAAAAATAGTCAAGCATTCTTAACATAAATTCATTAAATTGCTTACGCTTATTCTTGTTTGAGTGTTCAAATAATTACGTACATTTTCGGTAAGACTTCCAAATAAATCTGCAGTTCAATATTACTCACAGTTACAAGTTGAAATGCCAAAATTGTAAAAACTAATGTAAAGAAGAAAACTAATGAGAGAATCAAAAGATTGAAAATGTCTTCAATTACAGCAATAAATCTGAATAAATAGATGATCTACAGTATTTTTTGAATACGGTGATGATTATGTAAGTAATTTAAATAAATTTTCGAATTATCCACATCAAGAGTATCTAGTTCGTACCTAATAATTTCATAATGCTTCAATACCAATGATCGAAAAGCATGGAAGTCCATTTCTGATGCCATAACTGTAATCTTTAGCCGTTTAGAAATAATTATCAATTGTGCATTAGTATGAAGTACTAGTACACCAAACATCCCATCTGGAAATGTATTACAAAGCCCTCCCATAATACAGTATATTAATTGTGATAGTTTTGTCAAAATATACCGATGACCTTTAGTAATGTCATAGAAGTAAGAAGTTTGCATTGCAAGTAGGTAGCCTGGTATGTCAGTGATATTGGTTTCAGTACGAACTAGCTTTCCAAAAAAAATTGCAGTATTTATTATGATAATAGTACCACAGAAAAAAAATAATCCTAGACAGACTATGAATCTTGATATTTTAGCATATCTTATCATTATCGTTCTTTCATCAGAAGTTTTTTTTTCATTCCAATCGCTAGCCATCATTTTAAATAACTCTGCTATATCTTGAACAATGTATTACCTACATTAAGAAAAAAGAATTTTGCTTCCAAAGAAAAAATACTTAACTCAAATCACCTGATTCGAGGCATTTGTTTTAGTTAGATATAGATTGATTTGAATCAAGTATTTTTTTGGATATAGAATTAGTAATCTAATGCATCAATTATATTACAGATTATACATATACTAGTGTAATATGTTTTATAGAATTAATTTGATTCGGAGAAGTAATTAAAATTTAAAACAAGTTTAACTACACGTCAACTTTGAAATATTTAATTCAGTTTTTGTAGAAAACTACAAACTATATTAATAACATAAAATCTTATAATACCTCTCTTTTTTATCCAAAGTGTAATTAACTTAATATTAATACATATCAAAGGCATTGTAACCATAAAATTATCTAACATCAGAATTAAGTTGCCTCGTACTTTTATCAATGCACTTATGCACGGTATGTTGCAAAGGATGACCAAATAAGCAAAAATAGCTGATGTTTGGATATTGCATAATGTTTCGATCCAAGGATTACTTTTTTCATATATCCACAGCCCATACATCTTCATGATAGTACGACACATCCCAATTTCACGATCTAAATCTTTCTCATTGTCTTCCATATCTTTATTCACTACTTTATTGAGTGAACTATTCATCGTTGAGGTAAACTGAAAACTGAAGTCCAGTGAGGTGCGTAACCTCTGAAGAAATTTCTTCCCCCATATTTTATTTTAAACTATACTTCGTTGGCAATTATATTTAATAATATTATTATCTAAATTATAGTTATTGAAGCTCATCGGATAATCATCATCCCTACTACCAATGAAATCGATCGAATTCTGCGCAGTTCGTATCAGTAGAAGTCTTTATTCTTTACTTTGTTTTGTGAAGCTTATCTGAAACATTAGTTAAAACAAAATGTATCCTGCACATGTTTTCATCAATTAAAATAATACCACCTGCATATTAAATTTTCTTTGTTATCACAACTGTTTCCAATTCTTCAATCATTTTCTTCAATCCAGTTTTCAATCATTTTTCTTATTGTAACGGTTTTTGTGGTCTGAAGAAGTCCTCATCAACTGTTTAGATTGTCTGTACTTTAGCAAATACTGGTCACAACTAGGAAAAGCCAGATTTAAATTAGTGTACTTACTGTGAGTTAGAAAAAATGCACATTGTTGTCTATTAATTAAATTTTTTACCTTTAAGTATATTAGAAAAAAAAGCTATAGAAATAATTTCTGTAACTCGGAAACAGTGAAGACAACGTTGAAATAAGTATCAGAAAATAGAAAGAGTTTTTTAATGTATTAATCAATTTGTAGCAACATTATCAACCTTACATCTGCTATGAAATAAATAAGTTAAGTATAGTATTAGTGTGAAGATTACCTAATAATATCAATGTGTTTTCCAATTAATAAAATAAAATAAAAAGTTTATGGATTAATTTTTGATCATCTTCTAATTGTCACGGTTGGTCTAATTTTATTATAATTAATGTCTCACTATGCACTAATGTCAAGTACAAATTATGTGCAGTAGTTTACTACAGTCCTCCAGTAACAATTTTTACGAATAATTTTTCCAAAAAAAGAACCAATGTACAAACTAACTCTGATATAAATTAAACATAAACTTAACCATCCTATAAATGTTGACATTGCTGCACATTTTAGAATGGTGTTTCTTTTATTTATTCTTTTATATTGAAACCAATTTTAAATTATTTTTCTGAATAGAATAGCAAAATTCTTAAGAATATTATCAAAACATTTACTTATAGTTCTGCTTAGATGAAGTCTTCTTATAACTTTAACAAGCTAAACGGCTTTTATGAATAAAAATTTTTAAGTCACTTGAGTTGAACTTTATTGTATTTTTTTTTTTTTTGAATTATTCTTCGAATATTTAGTAGATTTTTTATTTTTATAAAGTTACGATTGTTTATTTAACACATCCTTTTCCTATTATTTATGTATATATTGTTACAACAATATTGTCTTCGACAATGAATTGTTTTAAATTTCAAACTAATAAAAATTGATCAGTCGGTAATGAAAATTATCATTATGTAATCATATGATAAATAAGTTACATTAGTGTGTTTCTTAGTTCTTTGAACGATAAAAAAATAAGAGGGCGCTTAATTTAGTTTGTTTCCAAAAATGCTAAAATCGACTCTTTCAAGTCTTCTCTCTTTTGCTGTGGAGTTTTGAGTAAAATGAAAAATGGCCGGCGTTAACGACTGGTTTAGCATTGGAAGTACAGTAGCATGTAAAACATGTTATAATAAAGAAATTGAGGGTGAAGTGCTAGCATTTGATCCACAAACTAAAATGCTCATTTTAAGTATCCTTTTAAAAAAAATTTCAATCACTTACTTATAATTTACCTCTTCAACTTCGTTTCTAAACAATGGTAATGTAAATACTTGTTATTTTTATTTATGCTCATGTATTTTTATCTTCAACTCTTAATAGAATATTTATCAGACTTCTTTTATTAGAATTAATAAATTGAAATCAGTTATGAAGAATAATTTCTTAGTTAATTCAGTTTATTTTAAGGAAATCGAGTGTTAGGTTATGCTTTCAGTGATTTGTATTGATGTTTACTGTGGTGTTTTGGTTATTTCCTTAATGTGACATGTAGAATGCCCATCATCATCAGGTAGATCTAGTTTGAACGATGTACATATAGTGAATTTATCATTGGTTTCGGATGTTCAAGTAAAAAGAGAAGTGAGTCCAACATCAACAGAGCCACCTCAAAGTCTTAATTTACAAAGGCTGAACACACGAGTTCGTAATCAAGTTGAAGAAAAAAAACGTATTGTCAAGGCTCTGCAGGCCGGAGTATCACCTGAAGGACAAAAGCTTTTTATTGCTATTTCAAAGACCATTCAACATATCACTTGGTCTGGCGAAAATATTGTTGTTTGGAATGATGTAACTATTGTACCGCCTTATAAAGTTGATAATGTTCATGGGAATGTTGAATCCAAACCTTATGTACATGTTAGAAAAGTAGTAAGTAGTTGAAAATCATTTTTTTTTAAGCTATTTAAAATAATCGATAAAGTGTAGTCTAATTAAATACTTGTCTCTTAACACAGGTTGAAAAGCATATGAAAGACACAGCAGCAGCAGAAATTCAGCAATCACAGCTACAAAAAAATAGTAATGCGCAGTAAATAAATTGAAATGTCACTGAGGATATATAATTATACATAATTAACTAATTGAAAACAAAAATTTTTAATTGCGAAAGGAGTGAATGAATTGAATTTTAGTTTATTTATGGCAATGTTGATCATGATAATTGTGGCAATGACAACGAACATCTGGATAATTTATAGAAGATCAAAATCTAATGTTGATTTATCAATATTCCAATGATATCTGATGAAATTTATTTAATTATGATCATAAACATATTGTCATTAATTAAAAAATTAAAATCACAAACATATATATATAATTATAATAAGGAAATAAAAAATATTAATTTAATATTGTTTTAATAAATTTTATGTTGAATAACCAACATTCTGAATTCACAATTTACTTATCATTTTATCATTAATTTATAGCTAAGTATTTATTATAAATACATATCATCATTTTAGCCGTAAAATAATTTTTTGTTTTTATAAGACCATATTAAATATAAATCATAAACATATATAAATGTCAATGATTTATTTTAAAATATTTATTCTAATCTCATTTCGAATTTAAGCATGTTACTGTGAGTTATAATTTTTTGGATAATCAAGATTTTGATAGAATTTTAGTAAGAGAAGATGATGGTTATAGCAATTTTTTTATCAATCAAAAAATATTTGTCTTATTATTAGTAAAAGGGAATTTAATTAGATATATATTCAGTTTCCTCAGTAGAATTCTCTTCATTTGTATCATGATCATTCTTGGTAATTATTCTATTACTCAAATCATTAGTAATCCTTGCACATCTTGCTGCAGCTTTAAATTTTAATGCTAATCCCATTTTTTCCATTTTTGCTTTCCACTAAAACATTTGACATAAATATAAACATTAATGATTACATTTAAATGGTAAATCAATTTATTAAGTTGATAATAAATAAAAAAAAAAATTTTATTACATTGATAGTTTGAAATTCGCGCGCCAACTATAATCACAAACATAAGTATTCGACCATTTCGCCATTTTGTATCATTTCCATTGCACGCTTAATGTCTATAGCATCAGTCACGTAGATTATAGTAAATTTTGACACAATTTCTACAGTTTTACTATAATAAAGTCAACTTTATTCATTTGTTTGTCAACTGAGAGTAAGGTCACGTTCGTTACATCACATTACACCAGAAAAATAAATTTTCTTTAAAACATGTACTGAACATGTACCGGTGAAGTGTTAATTTAGTTTTTAATTATAACAGAATGAAGAGTTGAAGAAAAATTTCAATTGTATAAATAAAAAGTGCAGTGAATTTTTTTATTCATAACTATACAAATGTGCTCCAAAATCGTAGAACAATGAAATGAAGAAATAACAATTGAGTTAACCTTACTTTTCATTGATGATCAACGAATGTAAGTTATAAATTTATTGTTTATAAAACTTCTTAATGTTTAAATCTATAAGTTTTTAATTTAAATCACATAGATATAAATAAGGATAAATAAAAAGATAAAAATAATAGTTACTATTCTGTAATTATTGAAAAAAAACTAAATAATGAACTACAAGGACAATTAAATGGGTATCAAACATAGGTAAAAAAATGAGTAATAATATAAAAATCATATACCTTTTCATCTCTTGATGGTAAATTCTCAAGATAAGATTTCATCTCAGGCTTTTGCGAATCAGCAATTGCTAAAACTGAAACACATCCATCAACCGTACCCAAAACAATGCTTTTGCCATCATAAGTACTGTCAATTGCAGTCAATTCTGCTGATACTCGATAATTAGCTATCATTTCACAATCAGAAGATCTGTAGCAGTTTTAAATTATCAAATTATTCATTTAGCCCTTTTGAAACGAGGAAATTTGTTTGCTTCTTATTTGCCTTTCTCTACTGACCTGAATACTCTGATTGTTTTTCTTCCACTGTGGTAGTAAAGAACGTATTCATCCGTTCTATTAAACATTGAAATTACTGTAAAAACTCCTTCAGCAACTTTTGGTATGTAAGTTTTTACTGTTGTTCCTTTTTTTAATTCTACTAAATCCAATCCACCTCTTTAACATAAAAGAATGATTATTGTAAAACTTGTAATCATGATACTGTTTCTTTCTTACCTGCTTGGAGCATAAAGAGTATATTTGCCATCTTTGCTGATATTACCACTCCATCTTGGAATTGATCTAATGATCTTTTTCTTATTGATATCTATGATACTACCTTTATCTGAACCAATGATACCAACTAATTGTGGTTTATTTGGCATTGGAATAACACTTGAAATGTCTTTAAAACCAGGTAATTTTACTGGAATTTTGCTGATCAAGCCTCCAGTATTAGCATTATAAACAATAATAAAATCTCGAGTAGATTTTTCTGCTGCTGGCACTATCAAATTCTGGTTATCTGATGTAATTGCTACTTTTCTAAATGGCATTCCTGTATGACAACGTACTGGATATTCGAAAGTATATAAAACTGTTCCGTCTGTAAAATTTTTCATTCAAAATTTAATAAATATCAATTAAGATAATTTTTTTTAATTAAAATCTAGATTTTATTTAGAAAATAACAAACCTGGAATGCTTCTCATAACGAAAGTTGCTGTAGTTTTCATACATTCAACTCCAGGGGGGTTATTTGGCCTGGAAATAGCCATAAATTTGGTAGATTCATGAACCAAAGTGAGTTGTCTGACATCTAATTGTTCCTGTTTGTAAAGTACCTGCTCAGTAACTCGATTCCATATCAACACATTACCAGACTCAATGGAAACTATATACTTTCCATCATGTGTTATTGAAGCAAATGTGACAATAGCACCTAGCGGACTGTCTGCTAATTTAGATAATAATTTACCAGATTGAATATTCCATACGCCAACACATCCTCTAGTAACAGTCACTGCTAAGTCGCAGTCTTCAGCTAAACACAGAGAATCAATTTGTAATTCATGTCGATCAATCACGTGTACTTGCTCGAAAATATTATCAATATTCCAAACTTTAACACTTCTATCAATGCTTGAAGTGATGACACAATTCCAATTGCCTATTGTTAAAGCTTCTAATTGAATTATCCTTGCAAAATGTGCATCAAGAATTTTCATCAACTCACACGTTTCTAGACTCCAAACATACAGGTTTTTTCGTACACCTGCTACAGCATAATTTTTTGTTCCACTGATCATTATTGAATTGGAATTTAACATTCGAGTACTGATGTTTCTTATTCCATTAGGAAGCATTAAAACTGCTGGATTTGTTTTTATGTAATTCTTTTTGTTAATTATTTTATCATCATCGTTTTTCATTAACTCTTTATTATTGTTATTATTACTGTTGTCATTATTTTCATTATTACTATGTACATTACTATCATTAGCATCATTATTATTACTGCTGTTGAGATTTTTAATATTGGTATTATTAAAGTTATCCTCATCATTACTATCATCTTTGTCAGCTATAAACCAAACAGTAAATCCATTTCCAGTCGTGGCCATTAAATTTTCTTCATTTTTATCAATTTTCAATTGTAAAATGTATTCATCTTTATCGTTATATGCTCGAGGCATGTCATATTCCTTTTTCCAGGTTGATGTTTCTTCATCAATAACGAATTTTGAGACTCGATAGTCACCTTTTGTTGAACAAGCGTAGAGAATTTTCTTGTTATTGGTCAATACCATTGCTGAATGAAATTCTAACGGTTCTATTAATTTATCTTCTTCATAATTATAAATAAGCATTGATTGCTCTTCTAATTTTCCTCGCCAAAAGATAATTCTATATTCGTTTAAAGTGGAATATTCAATGTCTACGAACAAATTTAAGTTTTACATAATCTTATTGAATAACAAAATTGTTATGATAATTAACACTTACGTAGAATTTTCCATTCATTAGAATCCACAGGGCTTGTATGCTTTGATATTAAATTTCCTCTAAGATCAAACCTACACCATTCATTTGCACCAAAAACAAATGCAAATTGATTCATTAAATATACTCCACATACTTCTTCCTCTCCGCTTAATGGATTGTCAATGATAACGAATTCACTTGTTAGTGTATTTAAAACAACAGCTTGACTATTACTAGTAAAAGCTGCTGCATATCTATTATCAGGGCTCAATACCAGTTGTTGCATTACACCTTCAATATTTGGATTTACATCTCTTGTCATGTCACTTGTACTCAAGTCCCAAGTAATAAATCTATTTGATATGGATACTACGTAACGGTAGTCTGATGTTAAACAAAAACCAAAAACTGCGAATTGATGGCCTTCAAGAGAATACTAAAAGAATAATTTAATAAATAAAAATATATATTGAATGTAAATAGAATTTTTTTTTGTTTCATTCACCTTCAAAGGTCCACCAGGAGTATGAAGACAGTGATAAAGAGGCATCAAAGAGCAATGTTTGATGCCGTCATTATCACATGCTTGTAATAACATACGGACATTTTTATTATTTCCTATTTCTGGTAGTAATCGACCAACTAATTGTGGAGCTAACATGTCAGGATGGTTTCCTAATATTGCTCCTCCTAATCTTAAGGCATCTGCTACCAACATTAATTCTCTGACTAGATTTTGATCATCAATATTAGCACAAGCATCTTCAAAATCTGATAAGACAGCTTGTAAAGGACAAGAACTGAGTTTAGCATGTAACCATTCATAATTAAATAACACGTTTTCAAAAAGATCTTTGAATCTTCGTGCTCTTACTAGATGATATGGTAACTCTCCAAATTTACGTAAATTGTATCGAGATAGTTTGCCTTCTTTAGAATAAAATGCTAAAGGTTGTTCTGGTACTTTTCTATCAGCAACACCTTCTTTGTCGGTTAAATTAAATCGATGCCGCTGGATCTCAGTATATTTAAATGGCTTAGGTTTACCTCCACCCCAAATACCGAGATAATAATCAGCAATCATTGAATGGAAATACATCGCCATATTCATGTTTTTGAAGTACCGTTCTTTAGCAGCATCACGAAACTGACGATGATACCAATTTAAAACACTGACACCATCAGCTTCTCTTTCACTTAAATAATTTGGTAAATCATTTCTGATTCTTGTCCATAATAATGGTGGAATCCTCCTTACGGGTGGTAAATGATATTGATAGACATCGTCTAGAACTTTATCATCAAGAGATATTAAATCTTCTAATTCAGATTCTGATAAACCAGACTTGGCTGCTGTGATGTAAGCTAAAGCATGAAAAACTAAAATCTTTCCATGTTGTTTTTCAATTCTTTCAAAAAGCATCATTATACTGTCCATCACAGTACTTGCTAAATAAGTATCTGCTGGTTTTGTGTAGCTTCTCCATCGACAAATTTCAGCAAATACTAATTTTACGAAAATAGGAAGAGAACAGCTTGATATTGCATTAGCTACCAATCTCCATTGGTAATTGTTAAGATCTCTGTGTGCTGTTTTCATCCACATCCTAGAAAATATCCATTTAGTTGATCAATACTAATATCAATATAATGTCTAATTAACTATGTAATTATAGTGAACAATTACTTGATAACATCCATTGCTAATTCTTCCCCAAGAGCAGTTACTTCAATAAAGCTTTCTTCAGTGTCAATCATACGTCGTAATAGATGATAATCTCTTGATATTACAGGGTTAGATTCTTCTGATGCACATGATAGTATCATCTTTGGTAAATAATTATTATTTTCTCATAACTTATTTTAAAAAATAACACGTATTTAGACTTGAAAGCATTCTTACCTTGCAATTTGAAGGCAATCGAGTTGGAAGCCATGATAATTTATTACCTTGAACTCCTGTTAATTGATCAACGCTATCAAGAAATAAGAGTATAGGTTGTTTTTCTGTTGCAAATGTTAATAAATGTTTAAAATGGGCTGTTAAAGGTACTAAGTCATCTGGTATTTCATCAAATGGTAACATCAAATTATAAGAGATCTAAAATAAAATATTAGTTTTAACAATAATCCTCAACAAATTATTCAAATGATTTTTAAATAAAATCCAACCTGCTGGCAGATTGAAATAAGAGTTGGAGTAAGAGCTGAACTGTCAGGAGTTGTTCCTAAGTATCTAATGATATTGATAGATTTTTTGCCAACTAGCCATTCAGTACTACTTAATCCTGCACTTTTTGCTAATAGAGAAGTTTTACCACAACCCCCTTCTCCATAAAGAACTAACGGTTTGTCACTTTCTCCAAGCATATAATCTTTTATTTTTTCCAGGGAATCTTCTCGACCATAAAAAACTTTGACAGAATTATTACAAGCATGAAGATGCTGAAGTAATTCTGTTATTATTTGTCCTTGAGCAGAACTATCTTCTTTTCGCATTGCTCGATCAACAAGCTTGATTATATTGCGATAAAAGTGAGTGATAAAATGTTGAAGATATTCTGAGTGAGTTTCTGGATCTAGACCTTCTCGTCCGATCCATTCAACTGTGTATCTATGAATTTAGAAATTTATTATTGATTACATTTTCAATGTTAATTCTTAATTTTATTAAATTGTTTTCTGATAACCTTTGAAGATTTGTACTCTCAATTTTATTGGGCAATCGTTCATCTCGTAAATCTGCTAGCAATTTAGAAGCTTCATTGTCTAAACTTCTGTTCAAAATATCCAAAAAAAGTCCAGCTTTTCGTAAATTTTGTAGATTAATATTGTTTATGTATCGAACATAAGCTAAACAATGATTCTTGGTATTTTTGACGTTTAATATTCCATTGATAACTTCTCTTTCAGTGACTATTTATAGAATAAGATAATTTATTTATTGAATTCTGATAAATAATTAAAATTATTTGATTTCATATTTGATATATTTACCAGACATAAAATAATTATGCATAGTATCTTTATCAAACTTTCCGGAATTATACAATGATTGTGCTCCTTTACGGAATAATTTTTGCATTTTGACCATAGTATCCCACCATGCTGCTTGATCTTCTTGTTGAAGTTTTGGAATTCTCTAAAGAAAAATAAAAAATATTTAATATCATAATTAAATATAAGTTTAATTTTATTTATTACTTTATTGTTGAAATTTTTTAAAATAGATGAAATAGGTTGCAAAATACTAGTTGGTGGAACTGCATTGCTATCTTTTTTATACCAAGTATCCAAAACCTCTACGTCTATTCCCTGACTTTCCAATTCATTTCTCAGCATTTCGAGTTCTGAACTCAAAACGTATGTAGGAATAGGTCTATATCCGTATTTTTGCCCCAAAAAAACCTTTAAAGTATTATTTATTTTTAAATTATTTGTGAGTAATTAATGCTTTAGTAATTTTTACAACAAAAAACTGATCTTACAACAAAATTAGGACCCATTGAAAGCCTTTGACAATTTTCTATTTCTCTCATGCAGAGCTCTGTTGTCATATGATCATCAGTTGCCTCATCTCGTACTCCCCATCTCATGTCAACCACCTCAAAGTGTTCAAATAATTTATTGAATTATTTAATTATTATCTAGAAAATATATTTTTTTTATAAATATTTAAATTACTTGCACTCACTTGAAATTCCAGTCCATGTTTTTCACGACAATAATCCTTTAACTTGGGATAACATTGTGCCATCAATGTGTTTCTCTCCATTGTTGTATCTATGAAAATATCTCTATTATTATTACATGAACAATTAATTATGCATAACATCAGAAAGAGCGATTATGAATAAAATAATAGCATACTTTATTTAAATTATTTTATTGGTCAATAATTAATTACATATTTATATTTGTTGATATTTACAGCAAGTGAAGAGAATTTAATTAAATTACTAGTGTAATTAAAAATTTTGATAATTATTTCAGATTACTTAAATATTTTTGAAAAATAAGTTTGTTATAATATTTGAATAAATCAATAATTAAATAACTGGAAATGTTCAATGTTTTGGTCCATAGATCAATTCAGTTGTAAAGATAAACAGTGCAAGTGTAACTCCAATTATCCAAATTATAAAAATAAACTGCAAATCTCTTAATTTTATTGGTCTAAATATAATATTCGATTTTGCAATGCGTCTTTTAATCTTTTTAATATCATTTTCAGTATACTTATTTGTGCTATAATGTGCAAAACCTGTATCCATAAATTTTATCATTGTAAAATCAATACGATTTTTTAAATACCAATTATGACGAGCTATAAATGATAAATAAATCATTCCTAATGATTCTTCTGATACATGAAATTTTTTATTACTTGCAGATAGTTTAACTCCAGCAACATGTGTAGAAATACATACAGAACTAGTATCATTTTCAATTACATATTCACATTCAACAGCATCAGTTGATACAATTTTTTTATTCAACTTTGGATTTATAAGATCAAAATTTAATGTTGATTGAATATAGATATTTTTCACAGTATCATCTAATAAATCAGATAATGTTTCAGGAAGTTCACGAGGAATATTTTTCGTTAAAAATGATGGTAGATTCCCACTAAAAGTTGCTTGAATCATAATAAAATACATAAAAACTCCCATAAAAAAAATTCTGTGTGATAAAATTCGAATTTTAATTCGCAATGGATTGTTAACTAATAATCTTAAAGTTTCAAAAAAAGCAAATGATGTAGAATGTGTTCGATTTGTCATTGTGATAACAAAAAAAGTGAGATCAAGAATTATAATTAATGATATCAATGTTATTCGGCCATAAAATTTGATAATTCTCTCTACTGGTGTATAATATCCTCTCTCAAATGAAAGTATTGATACACCTGTCGCATGTAATGGATAAATAGGAGTAAAATTGATAATTGAATACATTGGAATTTGAGTAAAAGCTACGTCGTATTTTTCCTCATACAAACCATCATACAATCTCTCAATATTACTCCAATTCAATTTATACGGTTTTAGTAAGAAAGTAACATTTAGTTCAAATTGTAATAATTGTAAAAAAGATGCATAAACTTGGTCTTCTGCATTTAAATTCTTTTTTTTTGGATTCTTATTAACAAATTGTGTAGATTGATGGAAAATGGGCAGACTCGCTTTTATTGGGTAACCATCTAAGTATCTTGTACGGTCGAAATTAATGTTATTACACATATTTTTGTCTAAAATAGATAATTTATCATTATAACTTTATTAGCTTTATGAATACATTTTTTTTTTAACAGTGATTAAAATTTAATTTACCTTTCATATCTAATGGAAAACTAAAAAGAGACCAAGGATCGCCAATTGATTTTGTTATTTCAACTTCACTCCATGGATACGGTGCTCGATTTGTATAAGGATTGTACGTATACATGCTTGGAATATTTTGAGAATCGCGACACAAGAAAATAATTTTTACTATTTCTAATTTCCAAGCTGTTCTTAAAATACTTTCTGTATTCAGGCATCCATTGTTTATATAATTTAAGAATAAAAATGTTGCCATTTTATTCCACCAAGGAGTGTTATGAAGAAATTGCAATGTTTTTGTAAAGTTGTGATGTGATTCAATTGATACAACAAAAAGATTTGTTTTATTTAAATGTCGAGTGTGTGGTGGAAAAATAGCTGAACTGTTGTACAGGATAAGACCGATTGATTTTTGATACCATAAAGATCCAATTAAATCGTTATCTGTTGTATCACATAAAACAATAGATTTATCATTGGAATAACAAGTGTTCAAGATCGTCATCTGTCATAATAAGAGTCCATATTGATCATACTTTTACATAATTTAACTTTTTAATTAAAATAATAAATGATAAAAGTGTATAAAATTCAATAATTACCAGTTCATTGCGAATAAAATTCAAATTTTCATTGTCTGCTTTTGGTAATATGAACGTTGATGATACATTTGTGATTAAAATTTTCAAAAATATAATAAAGGAATATTTGTGGCGAATGTTCATAATGAAAATGAAAACTGATGAAGTATTAAAGAAAATTAGGTGTATCATGATGCATGTAAATAAAAGTAAAAGTCATTTACTTGATCATATCAAGTTGTTTTATAGATCTCCTGATATTATTCACATAAATTATCATAATTATCATTGTTTGCAATTAAAATAATTAGTTTTCTAAGAATCCGTTTTTCAAGGCCATCTAAAACTTTTTATTTATCTTCTTTCTATTTTAAGTGTTTTGTTCACTAAGCAACGAAATTTCATTTATCAATAGTGAATGCGTCATTGTAAACATGAAATCAATATACGAATATGATAAGTAAATGGTGAAATAAACATAGGGAATTTTGAAAAATTTACGTAATGAAAAAAAATTCAATTGTTTTAATTACGTAGAAATCATAAAACGATAATTTATGCATTTATTATTATGTTTGGAAATTGAATTAAAAATTGTGTATTACTTCATTCAGTTGAAAAATAATTTGCATCATATCACGTGAAACATTAATGGCTGAACATTCATTAATATTTGCTTGTTCGTTACAAGTGATAATGAGATAGTTATTTTAGTGTATATTATAATGTCTATACAAACCCCATTTATAATTATTTCTTTAACATGAAACTTACCAGTAAAAGTTGAACTTGTAAATATTCGAACTATTTTTGAACTAACTGGAGGCAAGCTTTTTAATGAACCCGAAAAAATCGAATCAATTACTTTTTCATCCATTTTGACTGATTATTCGTTTTTGATAAATCAATAATATTAGTTATGTGAATTTATTATTTCTCTTACACGCAAAAACACTACTTAGTCAAAAAGAGCTGAAAAGATCGTTACACCTATTTTCATGGTTTTCACTTTATTGACGCAAATTTAAAAGCTGTATAAAGCGTTTTCTGCAGTGGTTGCTAAGGATCTTGTTGATCATTGTCCTTCAAAAAGAAGTGATATCGATTTAGAGGTGTTAGAGAAGTATTTTCCACTATTAATCCAAAAATAATTTATATTAAAGTAACACTCATTGACTCAGACTTTTTCCAAATTGTAAGTAAAGAAATTCTCTAAAATTTTTCAAAGTATCATTGATGTTTATTTCAATTACCAATTGGTAAAACTACATACAGTCTAATAATATTTCGAGACTTTTCTTCTTTTCCGGCTGTTTGTTGTCCTATGTGTTCTATTATCAATGTTGATAATTGTAATTTTGCTTGTAGATTTTTCGATTAAAAAACAAAAAATTCCCATGCTCAGTCCAATAACTAAGATGATAAAAGCAAAGTTTATATCAATTAATGATACAGGACGATATTTACGGTATTTTCTTGCTTCTGCACGTTTCATGCTTTCTTCATCTATTTCAAAAAATCTACTCATCCACAAATCACTGAGGCTGGCATCATGAATTCGTATAATACCAAGATCCAGACGATCAAGCAGAGGCCAATCGTAACGTGTAACATACGAAAAGTAATTGACTGCAAAGGTTTTTTTTGAGACCCACAAATTATCATAAGCAACAGCACCTTGTATCAAATCAGCTTTAACACTTATACATGCTGATGATGGGTCATCTTTAACAACAATACTACAATCGAAATGGTCCAACAGAACAAATTTACTTTTTAGAATTGGATTTATAATATCAAAGCTTATTGCATCGGGCATGTAAAGTGTTTTGACATATGATGCTTCAAGATCTTGTAGCTTTTCTGGCATTTTTCTGTATTCTTTGTTTGTTAAGAATGAAGAAATGTTTCCAGTAAATGTTGCCTGCATAATAAGGAAATATACAAAAATAGTAAAAAAATATATTCGCAAGTATTGTGCTCTTAAATCACTGAGTAATGATCCATTTATCAATAAACGTAAAATTTCAAACGTAGCAAAAGATAAAGAATGATTTCCTTGAGATTTATAGATTACAAAAAATGTCATGATAGAGATAATTATTAAACTGATCCCCATAAAATTTCCATAATAATTTATTATTTTTTCGATAGGTGTATAAAAGCCACGTTTTTGCATGGTGATTCCTAATCTTAATCTTTCAGATGGATATGTTCGTAGATATTCGCTAATAGAATGCATTGGAATCGTGGCGGTAGTGAAGTCGTATTTACCATCTAGACCATGATATATATAATGATATCTTGGTAATCATATTCATAGCTATCAATGTCAAATGTACAATTCAGAACACTTTTTAATCCTTCCGGTATATACGTATACCAGTAATCTCTGGGAATTGGATCAATTAAGTGGTAGCCTTGGCTGATAAATGAAGAATTAACAGTAAAAATGCTAACACTAATATTCATTTTATAACCATCTAGGAATTTCGCTCGATCAAAGAGCAAGCTCTGACAAACTTCTACGAAAAAATATTAAAACGTAATTAGACTCGCAAACATTACCTTTTAAATTTCACTCAAATGCTACGAAAAAAAAGACTCGACTTAATTTGTGACAATGAAGTCTTATTTTCTTTGATTTTACCATTAGTTGGCCTGAGGTGTTGATAATAAAGAGTCCAGCGTTCTTCTTGATCAATATTCATCGTCATTGTTTGTTTCATCTCTTTCCACAATTCAGGAGCTCGTTTTGTAAATGGATTGTATGTGTATATCATCAAATTCTCCTCATGATTTCGACAAATTACAAAACATGTTAGTACATTCATTTTCCAGGATGTCTTGAGAATAAACTCTGCATGATTGCAGCTGTCATTTGATCGGTCTAAAATCCAAAATGAGGTCATTACGTACCACACTGGAGATTCTTTGAGCTTCAATAGTACATCAGGATATTCTTCATGAGATTTGACTGATATTATTAAAAATTTCTGCTTATTCAAATCCTTACTATAGTGGCCAATGAGTGTTGAGTTATTTAATAATATTGTAGTCATTGATGGTTCTGTCCACAATGATTGGATGATATCTGAATCTGGTGGACCCCACAAGACAACTGTTTCTTCATTTGGATAACAGTTTATTAAAACTGAAATCTTTGATCAAGTTAGTAATTAATTATTTTGTATCGTAATTTTTTTGTTGTTTTGTACTCTTAAATTTAACATAGTATAATTACCATTGCATAGATAATTGGAGACATATCGATACCAGAAACAGTTATCAAAAATAAAATTACGAACCATGTATTGAGCACAGCTACTAGAAAAAAATTGTTTTTAGCAGTTGAGTGCTTTCATCATTACTAGGGCTAATTTTTTCTTTAATTAAAAAAAAAATTGATTCTGAATATAACATCTCGTTTGTCATGAAATACTTCTATCATGGTATGTAAGTTTGTAGTTTTTTCATGCAAATTTACTTATGATATAACAGATATAATATAATAAGCCAAATTATTAGAACAATTTTTTATTTATTTCTGTTTTTTTTTTAAGGAATAAAGTTTATTCGTTCCATATAAACATTTTCAATATCGCTAATATTTTATTTAAATATAAAAATTGATTTATATTCAATTGAATCAATGAATCAAAATAGAAACATTCATTTGCTTACTCTAGGGGAATGTACATAGATGATGTATATTTAAGAAGACAAATGTTATTAAAATAGGTATGATAAAGCTATGTAACTACTAATGGCATGTCAGATATCAAAAAGATTAAAGTTTTACTACATAAATTTTTATTAATAATTTTTTCATTAATGTTTTACATGTCACACAAGACTAAAACTATCAGCGTTATCATTTAATAATGATCTTAAAATATATTATTTGAAATTTAAAAAAAAATTCTGTAATTAGCAACTATCTGTTTGCGCTATGTACATCTGCGTATAAGCCTCGCACTTTTGCTCTAAGAGCTGCCTAAGTTAGACGTGTACCCAGCTTGTGTGTGTTAAGAATCGCTAGGAGGGTATACCAAACTTGCCAACGAAAAAAGCTATCATCTGATCATGACCAAGTACCAAGTCAATATTGGACAAATAACTTCATCCCCGTTCCAATAATAGACCAGTTCTATATTCTTATTAGGAATATAGAGGACCTTTGAAGTGGTAATTAGAGTTATCATTTATTGTATCTTACTCCACATACACCATGCTGCATAAAAATCATCAGATGATAATCTCTAAGCAAAAGCTCATACTTGCACCAAAAAGACTGAATAGCAATAACCTTTATAGAACGAAACTTTTATAAATTGGTAGAATATATTTGTAAAGTAATTTATTTTGATAAAATAGCGTGAGTTAAAGGCGCGCTGAAATACAAAATATTTTAAGTTAATGGACTCTGCATTTGTTGATGAAGAGGCTTAATTCATTTAAAAATATTGATAAAATGAAATTGACTCCATTTCACAGAAGCAGATAAGATATAAAGGGATAACTATGCTTCTCTATACATGTATGTACAATTAAAATGAACAAATTTGGAAGTCGTATAAGGCGTTTTCTGCAGTGGTTCCTAAGGATCTTGTTGATCATTGTCCTTCAAAAAGAAGTGATATCGATTTAGAGGTGTTAGAGAAGTATTTTCCACTATTAATCCAAAAATAATTTATATTAAAGTAACACTCATTGACTCAAACTTGTTCCAAATTATAAGACTACATGAAGTCTAATGATATCTCGAAGCTATCCTTTTTTTTTGTCTATTTGTTGTTCTATGTTTTTTATTGTCAATGTTAGTGTTGATAATTGTAGTTTTGCCTGTAGATTTTTCGATTAAAAAACAAAAAATTCCCATGCTCAGTCCAATAACTAAGATGATAAAAGCAAAGTTTATATCAATTAATGATACAGGACGATATTTACGGTATTTTCTTGCTTCTGCACGTTTCATACTTTCTTCATCTATTTCAAAAAATCTACTCGTCCACAAATCACTCAGTCCAGAATCATGAATTTGTATAAGTCCAAGATCTAGGCGATCCAGCAACGGCCAGTCGTAACGAGTAATATACGAAAAGTAATTGACTGCAAAGGTTTTTTCTGAGACCCATAAATTTCTATATATAACAGCACTCTGTATCAAATCAGCTTTGACACTTATACATGCTGATGATGGGTCATCTTTAACAACAATGCTACAATCGAAATGCTCCAACAGAACAAATTTACTTTTTAGAATTGGATTTAAAACATCGAAACTTATTGCCTCTGGCATGTAAAGTGTTTTGACATATGATGCTTCAAGATCTTGTAGTTTTTCTGGCATTTCTTTATACTGGTTTTTTGTTAAGAATGAAGAAATGTTTCCACTGAATGTTGCCTGCATAATAAGGAAATATACAAAAATAGTAAAAAAATATATTCGCAAGTATTGTGCTCTGAAATTACTGAGTAATGATGCACTTGTTACCAAACGTAAAATTTCAAACGAAGCAAAAACTAAAGAATTTTTTCTTTGAGATTTATAGATCACGAAGAATGTTATGATGGATATAATTACTAAACCAAGACCTATGAAATTTGCATAATAATTTATTATTCTTTCGATAGGCGTATAAAGGCCTCGTTTTTGCATAGTGATTGCTAAAGGCAATATCTCTGCAGGATATGTTCGTAGGTATTTTGTGATAGATTGCATAGGTGTAGCAGCCACTGTAAAGTCGTATTTACCATCTAGACCATGATATACATAATAAATATCTTTGAAATCATATTCATAGCTATCAATGTTGAAAGTACAATTCAGAACACTTTTTAATCCTTCCGGTATATATGTATACCAGTAATCTC